AATGCGCTGCAGCCGGCGCTGGCGTGATGGAGACGGGCCAAGAAAGGGCTGGCGGCGGCTGCGGTGCTGGTGTGCTCGTAACGAATGACAGGGCGGCGGGGGCGGCCGCTGCCGGCAGTCTAGACAGGGGCAGAAATCAGGAGGAGGAGGAGGAGGCGGCGGCGGTGGTGGGGGGGGGAAGAGGAGGATGTGAAAATCTGGACTCTAGTCCTCCGAGCCCCAGATACCGCATTGGGCTATCCAAGAAATCCCCATCAGTATTGTTGCTGCCACCACCGCTCACGGACGTGGACAGCGGCAAAATCACTGACCCTCCAGCCACCATTAGGAAAGCGACCAATAATCATGTTCTCAGCGGTGCTCCTGGTAGCTGTAGTGTTGAATCCAGGATCTATTCATCTACTAATAGCCTTCCCCCGGGTGGAACCCCCTCCTCCCTTAGACTCAACCACTCCAATCATACGGGTTCAAATCATACCTACCTGAAAAACACCTACAAGAAGAATCTCTCTGAGCCCGAGGAGGAGCTTCTCCAACAGTTCAAAAGAGAGGAGGTATCCACCACTGGAGGCTTCAGTGCACATTACCTGTCCATGTTCCTCTTAACTGCTGCATGCTTGTTCTTTCTGATACTGGGATTCACATACCTGAGAATGAGAGGTTCTGGAGTAGCTGAGGATGTGGGAGCCAACAGTAAGTATTAGGTGAAGGGTAAGAGCAGTTTCTGCAACTGGATGTAACAACTGTTAATACGCCTTTGCATTCCCAGACATCCCTTACCGAACAGTTCTGGGTTCCACCTTAGTATAATCTCTCTGTAGAGGACTGTGCTCAGAGGAATTGTCTTTCCTTATGTGTGTGCTTGCAAGCTGGTATAATAAGCTTGCAAGACATTTGAGGATAAACTTAAATCCCAGCATTCCCTGCTGTAATCTGTTGCTACCTTGTTTTCTAGCAAGTTTTTTTCCCAAAGCAGTTCTTCGGGTTTTGTTCAATTTAGCAGAAGTATGGTTAATAGAGAATTGACGAGGGAAGGCTTTATGTTAATCTCACAGGAGTAAGCGTGCACAGTTAGATACCTGGGATTCCTGCAGGGCTAAGATTTGACTGTAGTTGTTTGGTAATAAAGCAGGTTGTTTTCATTCATGTGTGCTGAGGCTTGAAAAGGATCCTAGGTTGAGGTGATGCACACTGTGACAGACTTTGTGCAGTGAATGTTTGACTTATGTGTATTGTTTTCTAATAAGTACTTTCTTTTATATTTAGTTGAGAATAACGTTTATACATGAAATACTGCTGTGCTTTAGTCTGAATTTCAGAGCTTTTTTTTTTTAAAATACTGAATTATTTGTGAAGAAGTTGGGAACTTCTTTAACATGTGGAAGTAACTTATTGGAATGGATTTAAAAAACACTGGTTTTTTTTTAGATGGTATGGAAACATACCACCTAAGAGTGGTGATTCTTGCTAATTCAGTTCTTGGCTGTTCTGAAATGGACAGTGGAGATTCTAACATCTCCACAAGAAAGAAAACTCATGCCATTGCTGTCTTGATTTTTCATTGCTCCTGGTGAGAAATTGTGCCAAAATCTGGTTTTGGGATATAAGAGTGTTAGAAAGTTCCTGGCAACTTGTATTTTTCTGGACATGATTGAGGATGGTGAGTGGGGTGTATGCAAGTGTGTACGTTTTTTTTTTGTATAGAGGGTAGAGGATTTATATACTCATTTGTGGACTTGTATACAGTGCCTTGTAAGGAATGATCTGCCTGTTATCTTGGGATCTGCTAGATGTCACAGGGCAGCAGTGTGGGCTGGCTTTTTTTCTATTCCCCTTCAAACGTTGTTCATTACATTACAGTAGCATAATAATTTTTAATTCTGTTTTGCACTCTTTGGAGGGGAGGGGGCGAGTAAAACATTCGCTGTTGAGGAAGGACAGTAGCAGCAAGGACTTGGGGATTTGCAGTGGTTTCATTGCAATGGTCCACGTGGCTTTTAAGTGCTGTTCAGTCTTGTTTTTGGGCTGGCTGTGAACATAGGCAGGTGGACTATAATTAGATACGGTATAGTGTGACTGTTGCGGCTGCTCTGGGTAGCTTCTGGCCATAACTGCTGCAGACATGCCTACGTTTTCTTGTGTACAGATAAGCTGTATTCTTGTACTAGCATGCATTATATGCTTCTTTTATTCTTGAAATACGATGATTTTAACAGGAGAAGATCTGTCAGCCTACTAGGGTAAACTGCCAAATTCAGTGGTTCAGTTAAAACTGGCTTATCATCCTGTTTGATACAAGCTGAGTGTTTCAGCAATGCAGATAGCAATAGTTCTTACAGTTCAGAGTGAATTTTTTTTTTTTTTTTGTATTGAAAGAAATTTTGGTTTTGAATGTGTGAACTTTCCTATAGAGCACGTGGGATGACTGTGTTGGGGGTATTGCTCTTAAAAAGTTAACCCAACTGGAACTGTTAGGAAAAATTGTCCTCTTCTCAGAGGACCTTGCTTAGGTTAGGCTGCCCAGTCAGTGCTCTGGTAGTCCAGTGTTGCTGGGTTTTTCAAGTAAACTAGTTCTTGGCCTGTTCTTACTTGCTGTCTTTTCAGTGGAACTCTTGAAAGTGGATTTTCTGAAGAATTGCTCTGGCAATGCCACTCATATTTTATCTGTGCTACTTCCTCACAACCCCAGGCTTTGCTGCAACGTAACAAATGGGAACGGGGAATAGTGTCCCTTGGCAGAATCAAACAGCAGGTTTTGTGGCTGGATCCTTCGATAGGAAGAGCAGGCCACTTCTTCTCAGTAATGGGGGAATGAACAAGGAGTTACCTTGCCCATATGTTTAGCATGTGCTTACTAAATTCCTCTCATATCAGCATATGGAACAAAAATACTGTGGGTCTGTAGAACAGGCAAGAAAAGGCAAGACGGACTAGTAAAGACTGATTTTTACTGAAAAGGGGGAGAACCCTGTCTTCTATTGTATGCTTCCTAAGCTTCAGCAACATCCAAGTGAGTCCTTAGATTCTTATGCTTGTATGGGTGTATAGTTTGGTTTTTTTTAATAGAAGCAGAAGTGATTCATACTTTTTAATTAACAATGATAATGCATCTCAAAAACAACCTTTTCATTTAGGTGATTGGATGTTGAAATTTTTCTGTCTTTTAGGTGATTGTAGGTAAGATTCTGTTGGGTGAGAGTGAATTGATTGTGGAAAAAAATCAGTTGTTTTAAACTCCTATCTGTGTCATAAAAACTTTTAGGGTTCAGCAAAGTTGCAATATATGAATCTCTCTAATTATCATGCTTACTGTGATAAAGCAGTAAAGGCAATTATTTGTATATTTGGTGGCTTCTTATTTTAAATTTGCAGGGAATGATGCACAGTGAGCTTAATGTTGGTTTTCTTAATAGTTAATTGCCTAAAATTAAATGCAATCAAAATAAGGTGATAGTATGTTTGTGACATTGAAAAATATTTATCACAAAGTACAGTCAATATCAACACCTAAATATTTGTCAGACTGTAATCTAAGAACAGAGGAGGTGTGTCTAATGATAGAGAGGCTTAAAACCAGGTATTGGAGTTGAATTTAGGCCAGGTGTAACATTATAAATGAGAAGGGGTGAGCAGAGAATTTCAGAAGAGACTTGTCACACTGTGCATAGTGTTCAAATGATTTCTTATCCAGAGCTCTGAATAGCTATGAAGCTGTTTAGTTTTTCCACGTGTAGCATAAAATGGTCAAAGACAAATCAGAACTGAGCTAATTCTTCTGTATCTAAGCTAGAAAGGTCACTTGAAGTAAGGTTTTTATGCATTATTGCTGTCTAAAATATAGATAAATGTCTGTGCAGTTTTTCTTAAACCCGTTAAAATATACTGCTCTTCAAGCTCACATAAAAGACCAGCTAATGTGTAAGTGCATGTTGTGCTTGCTATCTCTGACAGCGCTGCATTTGAAAAAGATCAGTTTGGGCTTGGTGTGTGTAACTTCATTTTGCTCTGGCTGTAAAGCATGTTTTGTTTGCACCTGCCTTCAAAATACCATGAGATTGTATCAACTTCTTGCCAAAACAGCATAGTATTTTGTTAGGATGATGGTAGACTTTAATCTATTTCCTAGGTTCTTCAAACCTTGAAGAGTGTGTATCTCTTCCAACTTCTGTGGTTTTGTGATGCTACTCTGAGCATCTCACGTGGCTGCTCCTGGAAGTTAATTCTAAAATTATTTCCCCTGAAAAGTTGGTAACTGTATCAGATCGGTTGATTTTGCTTTCAGATTAAGTTGACTAACATTCTGAAAGATGCGGGCCCTAGTACAGATGCTGTTGAAATCTGTAAGCTGAAATACGTTGTAAGTAAGTTACTTTTACCATTTCTGCTCCAGTACTTTGTCTGGGAAGCAGTTGCTGTGAAGAAAAAAACCAAAAACCAGAACAAAACCACCACAACAAAAAACTAATCTTGAAAGTTTCAGGTTTTTTTGCTTAAAATCTTATTTTCTTATAAGAAGAGGCTTTTTAAAGTGACATCTGTTGCTAGTAATTTTGGTCTTTCTATGATACTTGTTACAAAACTGCTAGGAGGATAATCCTTACTACATTTGCTACAACTTGTGTTTTTGAAATGTTAATTCCAAGAGACTTAGCAGTTGTATATATTGCAAGTGTAAGCTTATGCAAATCATAGTTCTAAGAGTTTCATTCAATTAGATTGATGTTCCTTTGTTCTTGACGTCTAAATCTCTCAGGTGGAATGAAAATTCTGTGGAATTTTATGCAGAGAATTTAATTGCTAAGAAGTTAGGCTTGCTGTATAAAAGACGAGATGATGACTTTTACGCTCATGGGCCTGCAAATTGCTGTTGAAGCGCTGTGATACTTCACTGATAACTGTTACAAATTTACTTACTTTCTAAGATCACCTTTTCAGAAGAGTCTATATTCTTGACAGTGTTGGCCCTAATGGAGGAAAATTAGTTGTGGATAAGAAGTATTTACAGAAGAGGACATAATTAAGGGAGGGAGAAAAATTAAAAGACTTTCAGGGTTCCTGTGTTGTGTGCCTATTGATGTTCCTTCTGTTTTGCAAGGGGGGTACCCTGACTTGTATTTGACAAGGTAACAACTTCTACTAAATATTAGCATATTGCTGTTTCACTTTCTGCATATTACTTTAAATCCTAATCAGCAAGTATTTCTCAACTAGGTGATATAAAAGAAAATCCTGGTATTTTTTGTAAAGACTAATCTCTGTTGTAGCAATCTCAATTCTATGGTTTGGTAAATTGTGGATCAAGATCTATAGGTCAGACAAAAAGACTCTCTACCTTCATAAAGTAAAGCCAGGCAGAATAGTTAGATTTCCTTAGGATCCTTGATAATTTTAAACTCTTGTCTTTCTTATGGTATGTCAGAAATTACTCTTTAAAATGGGGAATAATTTGACCTTTTATCTAGGAAAGTCTGCATAATTATTATGTAGTGACTTTCATCTAGGAAAGACTAAGTAACTGTTATATAGTACAAAATAGCTCAGCTATTCAAGTCCTTCCTGAAGGATAATAAACCCTCTATTTTCCTTTGTAATAGATCTGGAGTATAAAGTATAAATATGAATATTGCTCGGCAGTGTTTGAAACAAAAATGATAGAAATTCAGAATTCCTGTTTTTAGGGTAGTTGATACTTT